CCGATCCAGCAGCAGGCTAGGGCAAGGCCCAAGGGACCGGACGAGCAGGCTACAGATATGTTCGAATCTCGCAACGAAACTTGATTTATTTCTTCAATTAATAATGACGCAGAACGCAGTTTTCCCAACTCTCCTTTTTTTCCGACGTTCGTTATCAGGGCCCCCTCTGTTTTTATGCTGGGTCCTCATTCAAGGCCGTTTAGCTGGCGTGCGCTGCCCTAGAACAAGATGCAGTGCATACTTGACCGTACTTGACCGCAACGCGGAGCGCTGTGTTATGTGTTTATTTTTTGTCCAGCGTGTGTGTGAACGTAGATGGGCGACCGCGCACGTTGTGTAACAAGAGACGACCAAGGGCAAGATAAGGGACGTCGATGTTTGTGATTCTATCCGTTCATCCGATTATGGTCTTGTGACAGTAACCGTACGCCATGCCAACGTTAAGTCCCAACTTGCGGAGTACGGTCAAAAAAGAAAATTGATGTCGATCTTTCTCGTGCAATTTGACGCGTTTATGCTGTCTCTTTAATCTGTTGCGCAAAGAGGGGTGCGCAGTGAGCCTGATAACTTGTCTCGCCCCGTCAACGCCCCACCACGCCCCGCCACGCCCTGCCACGCCCCGCCACGCCCCGCCATCAATGGGGAACGGAGCATCACTGCCCCGCCCCGTCCCGCCACGCCCCGCCACGCCCCGCCACGCCCCGCCACGCCCCGCCACGCCCGCTGTGGGGTAAGGCGGCACGTCACTCTGAGGAGCGCTGATGGTGTCAACTCCGACCGAACTGACGAACCTCAAGGCCGTCGTTCTGGCTAATTCGTCTGTCCTAATGTAATGACTAAGTCTCCTCATAAACTCCTCTATTTGTTTCAGGTGGTTGACGACGCCGTAGACCCAGAATGGACCTTACTTTACTACCTCAGAAATAAACGTATCCTTTGTCTGCAAAAAAAAGTTTTAATTTTTTTGTTTATGGTGTTTGAGTGTGATCGCTTTCGTCTGCCAATCCGAAACGCAATTTTCCTTGACAGTCACCTAGTCCGCCTGTGTGGCACCAAGCTGGGATGCGCCGAGGGAGGTTGCGGTGCCTGCACCGTCATGGTCTCCAAGCTGGACCGCAGCACCAAGAAAATAGCGTATCCTTTATCTCGACATGATTCATTATCCCACCGAGGGGTGGCGACGGTGTTTATGGTATTAGTAATTTCAAGAGACTAGACTTGTTGAGGTCGCGCCCAAAACACTGCTGTTATCAGAGCATGCACACGACGAGTGCCAAAGGCCAAAGACACCGTCAAAGGTATCTCTCAAGTAGCGCTCTGCCGCAGTTACTAACCAGGAAGGAAATAGTGTTGGTTTTGAAGTAGAGCAGCAGTGTACTGTTTTCCTTGACGGCCACCCCGCGCAGACACCTGGCGGTGAACGCGTGCCTGGCCCCGGTGTGCGCCATGCACGGCCTGGCCGTGACCACGGTGGAGGGCATCGGCTCGACGCGCACCCGGCTGCACCCCGTGCAGGAGCGCATCGCCAAGGCGCACGGCTCGCAGTGCGGCTTCTGCACGCCGGGCATCGTCATGTCCATGTACGCGCTGCTGCGCACCCTGCCCAAGCCCAACATGCACGACCTGGAGGTGGCCATGCAAGGTGAGGCTCGCTATACTCGTGTCGTGTGTCGCGTTGGCGCGCGGCGGCGCTCTGGCTGGTGTGCGATGGGCTGCCTAACCCCGCGGCGCGCGCGCGCGCTCGCTCCCTGCGCAGGCAACCTCTGCCGCTGCACCGGCTACCGGCCCATCATCGAGGGCTTCCGCACCTTCACCGAGGAGTGGGAGCAGATGCAGTCCACCGTGCGGACGCACAGCCTGGCCAACGGCAAGGCAAACGGCGTCAACGGGAACAGCAACGGCGTCAACGGACACAGCAACGGCGTCAACGGGAGCAGTAACGGCGTCAACGGCAACGCCAACGGCGGGTGCGGCATGGGCAGTAAGTGCTGCAAGGTGACGGGCAAGGGCTGCGGGGCGGCGGAGGAGGACGAGGAGGAGCCCATGGATCGGGCGGGCAAGCCGGCCAAGCTCTTCGACCACAACGAGTTCGCGCCGTACGACCCGTCGCAGGAGGCCATCTTTCCACCGGAGCTCGTGGTGAGTGCACACTACCGGATTCTGGGACTTGGTGTTTGGTGACTGCCCTTTCTTTAACGACACATTCTAACCGCGCCTCTTGCTAGGCATCCGCACTCCTGGACAACCAGTACCTCATCATCAAGGGCCCCCGGGTCACTTGGCACCGGCCCACGTCTCTAGACACCCTCCTCGAGGTGAAGGCCCAGCACACCGACGCCAAGATCATCGTCGGGAACACCGAAGTCGGTAAGTTTAGATGAACACGTCCCCGAGCGCCGACGGTGCTTTTCGACGTACTTTACGACGTGCTTTTCCACGGGACCCTCGCCCTTTCCGCACACAGGCGTGGAGACCAAGTTCAAGAACTGCCTGTACCCCGTGGAGATCATGCCCAGCCGAGTACCGGAGCTGACGGCCATCGAGCGGCACGAGGACAGGATCCGCGTGGGCGCGTCCGTCACCCTGCGGGACATGGAGGACTACTTCCGGGGCGTCATGAAGGAGGAGCCCGAGAGCAGGACCAGGATCATGAAGGCCATCGTCAGCATGCTTCACTACTTCGCGGGCCGGCAGATCAGGAACGTGGGGGTTAGTATCTTGTCTTTTTGTAAATAATTGTTCCGTCATGACGGGCTTTATTCTCATTCTTCTGTTTTGGCAGGCGATTGGAGGCAACGTTATGACTGGCAGTCCCATATCCGACATGCTGCCGATACTCCTCGCGTCCAACGTGGACATGGAGGTCCGCAGTAAAGGTGCGTTTATTCCCGCCACCCGGGACTCGTTTCGAGTTTTCAACTTGACACTCGAAAATGACATACTTTATTTTCTTCCTCCAGAACGAGGCTCGCGCCACATCAAGCTGGACCACACCTTCTTCACGGGCTACCGGCGGAACGTGGTGCAGCCCGATGAGATCCTCGTCTCTCTGGACGTGCCCTTCACCCACGCCGTAAGTGCTCCCAGAGCAGGACAAACGCCACTTCTTTAGGACTGTTTCCCGGAAACCTGGGGACTCTGGTGTGACCCACTCCCTCCGCATGTTGCAGGACCAGTACTTCTTCGCCTTCAAGCAGGCCAAGCGCAGGGACGACGACATCGCCATCGTGAACATCGCGCTGAACGTGACGTTCGAGCCCAGCTCCAAGACCATCAAGGACATCTACGTGGCGTACGGCGGCATGGCGCCCATGACGGTGCAGGCGCGCAAGACGCGCGAGGCGCTCATCGGCCGCACCTGGGACGAGGCGATGCTGGACGTGGCGTACGCCGCGCTCGTCGAGGACCTGCCGCTCGCGCCCAACGCCCCCGGGGGCATGATCCGCTACCGCAGCTCGCTCACGCTCAGCCTCTTCTACAAGGCCTTCCTCAAGATCACGGACCAGCTGAGCAAGCGGCTCGCTGGCCAGGTCGCCCCGCTGCCCGCGCCCCTGCGCAGCGCCGCGACGGGCTTCCACAGCAAGCCGCCCAAGTCCTCGCAGTACTACTTCCTGGAGAAGGACGAGAGCAAGGGACCCGTCGGCCAGCCTATGGTGCACAAGTCGGCCGAGAAGCAGGCCTGCGGCGAGGCGGTGTACTGCGACGACATCCCCAAGTACGAGAACGAGCTCTATCTGGGCCTGGTGCTCAGCCAGCGCGCGCACGCCCGCATCGTGAGCGTCGACCCCAGCGCCGCGCTGGCCGTCGAGGGCGTGCACCTGTTCCTCTCGGCCAAGGACCTGCCCGGCGAGAAGAACGAGTGGGGCGCCATCTTCCACGACGACGAGGTGTTCGCGTCCGCCGAGGTGCAGCACGTCGGCCAGATCGTGGCCGCGGTGGTGGCCGTCGACCAGCTGACGGCGCAACGGGCGGCCAAGCTCGTCAAGATCCAGTACGAGGACCTGCCCGTCATCGTCACCATTGAGGTAAGTTGGCGCGAACACCAGAGGAGTTCGGCCGCACCCGTTTGGAAACCTTTCCCTGATATGGCTATTCTCTTGTACCCGATCCCGATATGTCATCATTTTTTTTTCTCAGGATGCGATCCGGAACAACTCTTACCATACCAAGCCCGCCTTGTTGCAATCTGGTGACGTGGACAAGGCCCTCGCTGAGGCGAAGCACATCGTCGAGGGCGAGGTGCACATGGGAGGACAGGAGCACTTCTACCTGGAGACGCAGGCCTGCGTCGCCGTGCCGAGGAACGAGGACGACGAACTGGAGATCTTCGCGTCCACTCAGAACCCAGCCGAGACCCAGGTAAAGCCAAGGAGTTGATCATTTAAACAAATATTATTTGTCTTACTTTTGCGTCATCCTCGCTTCGATATAACCGGCGGTTTTCAAACGTTACCCGTTGTTTTCTTCCCATAGAAATTGGTGGCACACATGCTGGACGTGCCGAGCAACCGCGTGGTGGTCAGGACCAAGCGCATGGGCGGCGGCTTCGGCGGCAAGGAGTCAAAGGCCAACGTGGTGGCGCTGCCGTGCGCGCTGGCCGCGAGCAAGCTGGGCCGGCCCGTGCGCATCATGCTGGACCGCGACGAGGACATGCTCATCACGGGCACCAGGCACCCCTTCTACATGCGCTACCGCGTGTCGCACTCGCCCGAGGGCCGCCTGCTCGCCGCCGACGTGCACATCTACAACAACGCCGGCTACAGCAAGGACCTCTCCACCTCGGTAAGTTCTACTCACGATGGAGGCCCCTCTACATCGTGGTCCTGGTTCACCCAATAATGTTAACCACAAACATATAAATTCATAAAAGTTTTATTGAAAACATTTTAAAGTGAATTTTCAATGTTGTGAAAACGGCGTTTAAGTAATTTTGTTCAATTTTACACCCAAAAACTTTGGTTATTAATTTTCTAGTTCTAGTGCCGAGCAATATTTTTTCCCTTGCCCTTGCCCAGGTGCTGGACCGGGCCATGTCGCACTTTGAGAACGCGTACTACATCGAGCACAGCAGAGCCACGGGGTACGTCTGCAAGACCCACTTGCCGTCCAACACGGCCTTCCGAGGCTTCGGCGGCCCCCAGGGCATGTTCCTGGCGGAGCACATCGTCAGGCACGTGGCTGACGCCGTCGGGAAGGACCCCATCGAGGTGAGATGACGCCGTTGTTGATATGGTGAGGGGTGATAGAGTTCTCGTCGGCGATTCTAACTGATTTACCCGCACTGTCCCCCAGGTCGCGGAGATGAACCTGTACAAGGAGGGCCACCGCACCCACTACAACCAGGAGCTGGTGCACTGCACGCTGCAGCGCTGCTGGACGCAGTGCATGCTGGACGCGGACTACACCCGCCGCCTCCAGGACGTGCAGGACTTCAACAAGCTGCACCGCTACCGCAAGCGCGGCCTGGCCATCGTCCCGACTAAGTTCGGCATCGCGTTCACGTCGCTGTTCCTGAACCAGGCGGGCGCGCTCGTGCTCGTGTACGCCGACGGCTCGGTGCTCCTGTCGCACGGAGGCACGGAGATGGGCCAGGGACTGCACACCAAGATGATCCAGGTGGGTGTATGGGGTATGCTGGCAGAGTAAGGGATCGTCCAGAAAGTACGGCCGTTTTTCTCTGATTCAATCGTCCAATAATTATACGGAAGCACCTGCGAGACCCGGGGTAGACTAACCCGCAGTGCACTCATGCACTGTAGACGAGATGCTGCCTACCTGGTAGGCGCTACGAGACAGTTCCGTACGGCGAATCACGGACGTACTTTCTGGACGACCCCCACGGGAACCGAGCGAGCGCAACAACTATAGAGCCACTCACTGATCTGTTCCGTTTCCATCCACTCGCCTAGGTCGCCAGCCGCGCTCTCGAGATACCCGAGTCGTACATCTTCATCAGCGAAACTTCCACAGACAAAGTGCCCAACACTTCTCCCACCGCCGCCAGCGCCGGCTCCGATCTCAACGGAATGGCTGTTCTGGTACGAATATTCACCGCGCTTACCGTTAATGTACCCCCCCCCCCAATTTTCCCCGCTTTACACGCATTTCTTCCTGCCCCCTCCCCCCAGGACGCGTGCGAGCAAATCATGGAGCGCCTCAAGCCCTTCAAGGAGGCCAACCCGAAGGGATCATGGAAGGACTGGGTGAACAAGGCGTACTTCAGCCGAGTGCAGCTGTCTGCCTCCGGCTTCCACGCGTGAGTCTTCTCTATAAGGCTGATGTGCATGTGCTGGCCCGTGGTGCGGTGGAGGGGCTGATTTGCGTGACCAACTTGTCTTTTGCGCAGCACCCCCGACATCGGCTACAACCGCGAGACGAGGACGGGCAAAATGTTCAACTACTTCACGTTCGGCGCGGCCGTCACCGAGGTGGAGATCGACTGCCTGACGGGCGACCACCAGGTGCTGCGCTCCGACATCGTCATGGACCTGGGCGAGAGCCTGAACCCCGCCATCGACATCGGCCAGGTGGAGGGCGGCTTCATCCAGGGCTACGGCCTGTTCACGCTGGAGGAGATGGTGTACTCGCCCACGGGCAACATCTTCTCGCGCGGCCCGGGCGTCTACAAGCTGCCCGGCTTCGCCGACATTCCCCAGGAGTTTAACGTGGCACTGCTAAAAGGCGCCCCTAACCCCAGGGCGGTGTACTCATCAAAGGTACGCGCCACATAAACATCCAAACAACAATTGTAAACAATTTGTTTCTGACGCTACAATTTATCATCGTGGTTCTGTTCAGGCTGTGGGTGAACCGCCCCTGTTTTTGGCTGCGTCCGCATTCTTTGCCATCTGGGAGGCCGTGAAGGCGGCGAGGGAGGAGGCGGGGCTGTCCGGATACTTCACACTCCACTCGCCGGCCACGGCGGCCAGGATCAGGATGGCCTGCCCCGATCACCTTACCGAACATGTGAGATTCCCAGAGAGTAGACTGATGTTTACTATTCTTTCCATTCCACACACTTACCATACTCAACAACCTTGGCTTGTAATGTCTTTCTTATTTTAAATCTTGCGGTTTTTTTTCGTTTCAGTTCCCGGAACCCGAGCCTGGGACGTTCCAGCCCTGGAGCACTGCTGTGTGCTGATAGCCTTATCGAGACGAAAAGCTGAAGAGGACAACCGAGTTGACTTAAACTTCGTGTGATACCTGCGTCATATGTACCTGGGTTATGATTACTGTAATTACTGTACTGTATGATTGCTGTAATTCTAGTGGAGAGTCACTTTTATTA